TGCACCACGGAGCTGTCAATACCGTCATGCCTGAGTACAAATACCTAAAAATTGAGGTAATATTAAAGTTGATTTCTGATCGTTTTAAAATAAGTCTGTTAAAAGTTTTTTCTATCAATAATAATAAAAGAATTGAATCTCAATAATAATAACATAGTAAAAGTAAAAAAAAATATTTTCTATTGTTTATTGAGACTTTTTTCTACATTTTTTTCACGATCATGTTAGTCGTGCACTTCCGGATTTTCCAAACTTTTTTATTGACGTTTGATATACAAATATCGGAAAATTAGAAGTAATAGTAACAAGGTTATTTGTGAAAACGTGTGTGTATAATACTTTAAAAATTGACGTATAATATGAACGCTTAAGGCATGCACATTTGGATTTACCAAAAGGATTTATTCTTAATTTATCCGAATCTGAAAATGATTCCCAAAACGTGTACGTGTAATGTTTCCTTATGTTATGTACAATCAAATTGTTTTTTTTAATTATTTTTCTGACTGATATCACTTGAAGAATTTCAAGAAAAGAGTTTACGCAAAGGCATGGTTGGCAAAGCATTTGCTGCGATTCCTCAAGTGTCATAAATGTTCAGGAGTGCCGTGCCGCTGGTCTTTCACAATCAGGTGAGCCACTTGCTCGTTTGTCTCCTTTTTCAGTGGAGTAGCATGAGTTGCTGTATAGCACGACCATTATGATCCAAATGTCGCTCAGTGAACTTTTATAGGCGGAAATGGATGGATGGAGCCGTGGTAGATCAAGGGCTAAACGCTCACCGTGAATTTCGTAATACGCGAGCAGCCCGGGTTTGATTCCCGCCGGCACCAATAAAATTGTTGATTGCAATTTTAAGTGCTGTGTTACCACGTGCTTGGCGGTGAAGTAAAAACTACCTGAGGAAACCTCTCTGAGTAATAAGAAACCGGCCAAGAGCGTGTCGGGCCACGCTCAGTGTAGGGTAGGGTTCCGTAGTTTCCCGTCCGTCACAATAAGTGTTCCCACTTATGAGTTTAAAGGTGGGTATCCATTATGTTCGCGCTCCAGCAGCGCTCCGCGCTCCTGCCACTGCTCCCGCTATTGGGTACTGTTGTTTCCATCCAAGTTCAAAATGATTTTCCTAGAAAGTCCTTATAAAGTTCTACTTTTCAGATTTTTTCATATTTTCTAAACTTATGGTTCAAAAGTTAGAGGTGGGGGGGACACATTGTTTTTTTAATTTTGGAGCGATTATTTCCGAAATTATTGACATTATCAAAAAATGATTTTAGTAAACCCCTATTCATTTTTAAATACCTTTACAACAACATATCACATGTTAGGGTTGAAATTAAAAAAAAAATCACTTCCCACTTTACATATAGGGGGGCTACCCTAATAAAACATTTTTTTCCAATTTTTATTTTACCACTTTGTCGGCGTGATTGATACACATATTGGTACCAAAATACTTTAATAAAAGTAATTTCAGCTTTCTAGTGCTAACGGTCACAGAGATTAAGCGAGGACGGACAGACGGACAGACAGACATGGCGAAACTATAAGGGTTCCTAGTTGGCTACGGAACCCTAAAAAAAGAGAATATATTTCGAAGACCGTTCGTTAGTGAAGTTCACTAACACGCATTGGGGCAGCACGGTGGACAGCAGCAGTGACACGTATATAGACTGTAAATTTTACTATTAACTTTAAGGATTGGATGGATGGATGATTTGTCATTGATAAAAAAAAACAAAAAAAGTTCTGAAATAGTATACCAGAATCACTCCATTGATTTGGCGGAGTTTGAACAAATATCCCGATAAGGTGACGCGATGTAACAACCCCTGTCGACGTAGTGGGCTCTACAGTTGTTTTCGTTTCTAAAATGTAAGAAATTATAAAGATTATTAATTGTAAGAATTCTATAAATATTTATTGCTATTTCTTTATGCTTTATTGATATCACCTTAAACATATGTTATTTTATACGTGGTAGAGCCATGCTGCAGTTATATTAGTAGTATACTTGTAGCACGAATGGGTCGGCTCGACCGGGGAAGGACCACGCTCTCACAGAATACCAGCGTGAAATAGTAGCTCAATGCTGCTGTATTTCGTATGGTGAGTGTAGAGAATCTAATGACCTTTTAATTGGAAACGAGGCATTCTATCTTAGTCCTCAGGGGTGACAACGCATTTGCATTTTGATTCTAAATCGAAGACCCTTATTACTGGAAATGAGGCATTCCAACTTAGTCCTCACGGATGACAACGCATCTGCATTTTGTTTTTAATTGAGGATACATGTAGATGTCTATGGGCCGGAGCAATCAATTACCATCGGGTGGACTGTGTGCTCGTTTGTCACCCTATTCTATAAAAAAAATATATGTTATAACGGGCAAACTTAATGCCTTTTGGCTTTTTCTTCCAGTCGAGTCCAGGCGTAGTGAAATATAATGCCATATCATTGTATTGTGGCCCCATATGAGAATCAGACTCCATTTTTTGGACTTATAGTAGTAGTTATAGTCGGCTCATTTGGACGCTTTTATATGAATATCATTCCGGGTTATGGTTCAAAGTACGATTTATTTCTTCTATATCGCAATCAAATGTTCACGTGATAGAGCCATGTTGCAGCTTCATTATAGTTGTAGCACGAATGGGTCGGCTCGACCGGGAAAGGACCACGCTCTCACAGAATACCAGGTAAAATAGTAGATCAATGCTGCTGTGTTTCGTATGGTGAGCGTAGAGAACCTAATAATCTTTTTAATGGAAACGAGGCATTCTATCTTAGTCCTCAGGGGTGACAACGCATTTGCATTTTGATTCTAAATCGAAGATATCAGATCAAAGATAGATGTAGATGTCTCTGGGCCACAGCAACCACTTACCATGAGGTATGCTCGTTTGTCACCCTTCTTCTATAAAAAAATAAGAATAATACAGCAATAATAATCACAGACTACTAAATATCTAAACTTATAGAATCAAAAACATTCATACGATATTTTTATATGAGGACACCTGAATAAGTTTCGAGGACCAGGTTAGAAGATAGCATTTCTCTAAATACAGCGGAGGGTACAGAGAAGTGATCATACCGTTTTTCCTAATGTAATACTTACCCTTTTATAGAATTACGGCAAATCCTCAATACTATAAAAGAACCCCTATTAATTTCATTGTGATAAGCGAGACGGTAGTTTTTAGAATTTTAGTTTTTAGTTAATACAATTAGGGTAACAAATAAGCTCACAGACATACTGATGGTAAGTGGATGTTTTGGTCCATAGACATCTATATTTATCCTCAATTAAAAATCAAACTATAGATGCGTTGTCATCCCCTAGGCGAAAATGGAATACCACGTTTCCAGTAAAAATGTTCTCCGGTTCTCTACACTCACCTTACGAAATAAAGCAGCATTAAAATCTTCGATCAACAATCTATTGTTGGTCGTCCTACCCCGTTGAATCGACTCATTCATTCTACAACTATAATATAGCTACGGCATGGCTCTAACACGTTAAATAAAGTGAATGTCTTCAGATTTTAAATATAGTTTGTATTCGTCGTATTTGTATTAAGAAATTGAGTCGTCTCACTCGGTCAGATAAGCGATCGCTGTATCATAACATTTTAGACGCTATTTCTCGTCAGTTACATTACTGGAGAACTTTTTGAAGGAAAGAAATAATGTTTTGTTTTGTAAAATATTTAAAATATAATTTCGTTTTACAGGCTCAAAGAATAATCCTGCCTAAATGGCGGTTAGACGTAATTACTTTAATTCAACTGAATCGAAATTCAGTGGTCAATACTTTAAAGATAGCTTATTATGCAAAATTAAGTACAATAATACTGATAAATCTTTTGCTATAAACTACAGGTTATAATAAACTCAGCAATATACGGCCTTACTTATAATCATCGATTATCGTTTACTTATATTAAGTATAAGTTATATATATACTTATCTCCTTCTATTGTCATAGGGTAAAAAGAAAAAGGCTATTTAAGTATTTCCTAAATCGAAATCGCTTAATATGGGTAAGGCCGATACTCAGTCTTACCAGCATCCTTTTCCCACAATTTGCACGCAGTCTGAACCGATTCACCGAGGGCGTGAAGCGATGTGGAAACCCCAAGTGATGAGTTAAGTTCAGCTAATGGTCTTGTTTCTGTAAGCAATAACACTTCCGTTTTAATTTTCCGTAACATCGGCCAGTCATTCAAATGAAAAAGCAGAATTGCGAAGACAAGAGAACAATTGAGTGCGGAAGTAAGAATCAGATGTGCTTCTCCAGATATAATCGAGTTTCAAAACAATTATATATTATTCGAAAGTAATTTCGTACTCTTGTAATCTAAATTCTAAGCTAGTGTACTATCAAATGTTAGCTCAAATGGAATTATTAGATCGGAAATCTTCAACTGACCATCACTAGATGGCGGTCGTAGTACGAATTACCCGAATCCAGCCCCAGCACATCTACATCTATACAGGACTATAACTGGTCCCTACAATTTTAAAGAGTTCACTGTAAAACAACTCACCCGGGTTCGGTTTGAAGGCGCTTAAGATAAATATAGATTAAATTCCATACTCGTCAATAATATCGCTTGCCGACCCGCAGACGTATCGACAGTTGATGTCGCCACATAACCAAAACCGCTATCGATCGTGCCAATAAAGGGTATATCATGAATCAGAATCCAAGTTTTCTGAAGAAATATCAACTCACAAAACGTCAAAATATAACACCTTCAGGCCATAAAGTTTCACACATGTATCTTGGCAGATTGTCCTCTGATATTGAAAATTTGTAAGCTTTATGTCCTCTTTTATATTTCATATTCATTCTTTCTAGTGAAACGGTTTCTTGTGTTTTGTTATAGATATGTTATTATTATTATAACCCTTTCTGTTGAAGAGTTATGGAAATTCGTATTAAACATAAGAATTTACTTATCTGCTGCCCGGAATGTGCTCTGTAAATCTCTGGCTACACCCGCTTTATCCACATAACGATAATCTGTTGGTTTTTTGTCACATGTATCTTTGTTTCCCACCCTTCGTTTTTATTATTTTCATTTATCATAGTTTCACATAAGATGATTGGCTGCTCTGATTCAGTTTGTCCTGTTACATCAGCATAGCCAGTCTTATCAATAGCGGTCAGCTGGTCCGCATATTCAGTTATGGAGCTTGGTGAGTCTGACGTCACTACAACACTCGCGCTCGTCTCCCTATACAGCTGCGGCAGCGATGGCGAGCACTCAGGGCGCGCATTACAGTTGACGCCCGTTTGCTTATCTTGCGTTACCCTCACATTTCTACATTCTGACATGGAAAACCTTTTTTTACTTTTATTTTGATTATATTATATTATAAAATTTATTAATTACATATTACTATACGGTGCAATCATAAGTTTATAGAAACTTTACCGTGTACCGGGATCACCGACAATAACAAATATGAGGGTGTAGTAAGAAAAAAAGAAATACACTTTCTTGCTGAGAGTGAATTTAAAATAGCAAAACTTGTGACCTCCGATCCTGGACTGTAAAGGGATGCTGGTTGAGAGAAAGGGCGTTCGTTAAAATAAATTGCACGCCTATCTTATCACCGCCGACCTCGCAGATCTTCCACGCTCTGGATACAGGTTTTGAAAAGTCGTAGATGAGCTAACGCTTCTTCCTTTCTTTTAAAAGTAAAAAAAGTAAAGTTACAGCCTATATACGTCCCACTGTTGGGCACAGGCCTCCCCTTATTTCTGAGAGGGTTTTAGGGCAAGGAAGTGTCCGCCGCGCTGCCCCAATACGTGTTGGCGAACTTCACATGTCTTCAAAATATTTTCTTTCTTATTTCTTAGACATGCAGGGATCCTCATGATGTTTTCCTTCACCGCCGAGCACGTGGTAAATCAGCACTTAAAATTGCAATTAACAATTTCATCGGTGCCGGCGGGGATCGAACCCGGGTTACTCGCATTCTGTTATATTTACAGCGAGCGTTAACCATCTGAGCTACCACGGCTCTCTTTTCTTTTGCGGACACAAAACTTCACCACTTTAATATACTTAAGTAATAGTACGCGGCGCGGTTTCTTCTCCTTCGATTACTGATTGGCTCGTGAGACAGTTCTCAGCGGTATGATATATATATATATATATATATATATACATATATATATACAAACGACTAAAAAATAAAAAAAAATTTTCTTTCATAAAAAGTTTCTGTCCGACACCGTCCGTAAATTCATGGATACCCTATGCACCCGAGTGACGTAATCACTGTAAAGATCACCGCCCGCGCTAGCTACCTACCCTACATTCCAATAAAAACACAATAGGTACACATAACCTGTGATGTAATTTTTCCTTCATACTTTCATCCTGACAAGACAAGCAGAAATTGAGGAATTAAGGAATAATTGAGATTTTACTAAAAAAAAATGTTGTTATTTTTCACTGAATTTACATTCTATAAGTGAAACCAAACCACTGGTTTCGAGGACAACGGTGTTTACACTAACAGCCTGTATATATACTAGGCGTGCGGTTGAGGGGGAAACGAACGCCCGAAATATGAATTTGAAGGAGGTAAATTTAGAAAAAATGCATTATATAAAATAAACTAGATGGCGCCAACACACTTATTATTTCTTAAGTGCGTGACCTGCTATTGCATGATGCACCGCGCATGGCTACTATATATTATACAGAGAGCTAGTTTTAGGGCGTTATCGTAATATTTATTAGTAAAACATATTATGTATAATTTGAATTAGTAATAATGCATTCCATAAAGTAGTTTTTTTTTTAATTTTAATATAATATTTTTTTGATTCAGTTCTGATTATACGGATACTGGTAGCTGGTTAATTAGGTTAGGGATCATATAATCTAAGGTACGTTTACTATATACATTATTGTATTTAGGTAAGGTTAGTTTAGGTTTTCCTGAGTTGCGAGTTTTAGTGTAATCACGTGTATGGGCAATTTTTAACTGTTCATGTAAAAATTCTTCTATAAGAAGGGTAAACTTTTCCTTTTCGTGTATAGGTATAATTTTGCAATGACTAAAAAAGTTATGGTAATCTGATTCTTTGTTTCTTAAAACTATCCGGAACTATAGTTTTTAAAATACGTAACTGTAGTAGATAAATACGTTCTAAATGTGATATGTACGTTCTGCCATAGCTAGACAAACCTCCACCTGACTCCACCAGTGACTTATATAGCTTTAAAAGTATTTTATACGGTACTTTAAATTTAACTATAGAAAATTTTGCAAGCATACCACGAAGTTTATCACACACATGCTCAATATGTTCTTTCCAATTTAGGCAACTATCTATCACGAGTCTTAAGTAGGCCTGTGATTCGACAAGGTCTGTGGATTCGCAATTACATATAATTTGGACCTGTCTGTGAAAGCATTGGTGATCATGCGCAATGAGTTTAGGTATAACCTTACTCCTATTTTAACTAGAGCTAATGTACATTAACTTAGTCTTTGCAGCATTTAATACTAATCCTTTATCATGTGACCACTTCATAAGTATATTAATTTAATCAGCTCTTTTAATCTTAAAACTTAAATTTAACTTGAAATTTTTTTGTGAAATCAATTTTTTTGTTAAATGAAAAAATATTTTTTATGTTAAGCTGAAAAATTGCGTCGATTGCCGTAAATCACATTATTATCGGTTGATTGGTTAGTAAAATATAAAATTTTTAAAAAATTAGAAAACGTGGTTTTCCACCATTATGACGGTTTCCAACTCTCCAAAATAAGTGGAAAGAAAGAAGCAAAATCAATGCCAACATTTAGAAATCACTTAAAATATTATTTAACATCTAACCTGAGCGTACCTTGAGTTCACTATTTCACACGCGTCGCTTCTAGGTACGCTCGGTCTGTAAGGTCAGTATTTTTGCTCTTGATGTAAGTTTTTTAAAAAGTACCCTGTATATTATATTTTGTTTGTTCTTAGAAATAAAAATTGCTAAAAATGTATACTTACAATTGAATGTGTTTGAGTGAAATTGATTTGATATATTACTGTACGCCTAGTATAAGATTATTATTTGTTTGTCTGTATTGAATAAAACTAAATTTACGGATTTTATCGCGTTTATTTACTTCGCGTTTATTAGTCACTACCATGGTCACGGGGGGATAGTCCCCCCCCCGTGACCATGGTTGCTGTAAAGCACCCGAAACGTCGGGAATTAAAAATAAGTAAAAGTAGTGTAATAAACGCGATAAAATCCGTAAATTTAGTTTTATTCAATGTGTAGTGTTCGCGTAAATTTAAGAAATCATTATGTTTGTCTGTATTTAAACTTTCTCATGTAAGTGAATTGTTGTAAATTCTATGAGAAATAAAGATATCTCAAATATTAATTTGGAGCGCTTTGATATTGAAATTAGCGAGGAGTTCCAGGGATGGCTTGCAGGGTCAACCAATTTTATTTTAATAGAAAACGAGCACACTGTCCACCTGATGGTATGTGGATGCTGTGGCCCATAGACCTCTAAATTTATCCTCAATTAAGAATCAAAATGCAGATGCGTTGTCATCTCGGAGGAAAAAGGTTCTCTACTTCTCTACACTCACCATAAGAAACACAGTAGAATTAAGCTGCTAATTTTAGCTGGTATTCTGTGAGGTCCTACCCCTGTCGAGCCGACCCATTCGCGCTACAACCATTATATAATTGCAGCGTAGCGCTACCACATGATTTAACGTTAACTTGTTCAAATATTAAAAATAAACAAAAACACACGCAGTTCGTGACTTATTTATGACTTCTAACAACACGTCTGCGGCCATAAAATTTCTTTAGAAATTTTATTAATTAAGAGATTTTATTTTAATTGACAGAATTAGGCGTTACTTTGCGGAAATCCATTATAATAAAGATATTAATTACTTCGCAACCTTAAGCTAACTAAATACAATGATGTGTCTTACCTGGATTGAAGAGCACCTCCCGTCCTCCCTCAATTGCATGCACTAACTCGACGAAGACTGTCCGTACCGTACCGTGACCGTAGCGGTCAGCCGCCGTAGAGTCTACATCACCTGAGAATGCCTCGTGTAGAGGCGAAACACGTGTCGTATTATCGTCGATGGTGTGTCCTACCTGGAATAGTGGTGTTGGAAGTAGTGGTATCAGGAGTAGTGGTAACGGGGTTAGTGCACGCAGCAGGTAAGACACATCATTGTATTTAGTTAGCGGAAGGTTGCTAAGTAATTAATATTTTTATTTACTTTATTTAAAAAAGTCACATTCGTAGTACATAATTAAATATGCCAGTCTTCTTGCGAAAGCATCTGCAGTCCTGTTCGTTGACTTCGTTGACATCAAACTTTTAGTCACATTGTTGTACATTGGTTTAAAAAATCAGCCGCCATGAAAAACGCCCCCACCCCCTTAAGAAAAAAAAGGAACAAACCCCCTATATTTTTATTAGTATTCATTACAGGTTTTATGAGGCGTAATAGCCTTGAAGAAAGAAGTCCCCGTTAAACTCGCTTTCTACTATGGAATATATTATATATTATATCCCGAAATATAAAAATAAACAAATCGAGAAAAAAAATTATAGTTTGGGATGCAATATATATTATATCTCAGTGAAACGGTTCCATTTAAAAGTACGGTGAGCGATATTAATTTATATCTCGAGATATAATATAAATTATATTATATCCCATAGTGGAAAGTGGGCTTTAGGCGTCTAGCTGCTTTTTTCCAGGACAAAGGTATTTTTCCGAACCTGTGGTAAAAGTAAAAAATTACTTTGAATAAGAATTACTTGTAAACTATATTGAACAAAACTTATTACGTTCTATTCTAAGAGAAGCTATATAGCAGAGGATGCAATGTACTTCAAAATTATTTTTTTATAGAATAAGGATGACAAACGAGCGCACAGTCCACCTGACGGTAAGTGGAAACTGTGGCTCATAAACATCTGCATCTATCCTCGATTAAGTATCAAAATGCAGATGTGTTGTCACTCCTGAGGGCTAAGATGGAATGCCTCGTTTCCATTAAAAAGGGTCTCCGGTTCTCTACATTCACCATACGAAATACAGAAACATTTAACTGCTATTTATGCTGTTATGCTTCTGTGAGAGTCTGGTCTTACACCAGTCGAGCCGAATCAATCGTTCCAACCATACAAATATAGCTGCAACACGGCTCTACCACGTATGCTGTTGCATGACTATTATTTTAATTCAACGAAGTCAAGGAATAGCCCAACTGGCCAAGTCTGTTCTATGATAATTTTTTCTGTTTTTAATGTTCATCGTTGGTCATGTGCACAAGCACAAACAATTCTCAGCGGAAGCCCGATTCATGAAGTTTGCCGTGTTTCGTTCATTACTCGTATAGTATTATATAAATTGTAAATGGACTAATGTCTCGAAAACATTTAGAGCAATCCTTTGCAGGCCTTGTTCCATGCGGGAACAACTATTTGTATGGCCAAGCTACTGCGCTTTTTGATCATCAATTAAGTCACATTAGCATTAAACGTCGAGAAAAGTTCCAGTTTAATGTAATCCGGATTCATTACGCCAATGTAAGCTCAACTGTTGTAGCTACCTGCATTCATGTACTCCGGTTTTACTTGCGTCGCCACCTCACCGTTGGAATTACGTAACGGGCCGGATAGAGGATGCCTTCGGTCGATGTCACCTAAAATAATGTTTTAATGAGTTTTTCTGGGGACATTCACTGGTGCTACTAAAATTATTAACTATAATTTAAGGTTACAGAGCGTGTCAAAAGGGTTATTATAATTAATTAATAATTTATGAATAATAACAACCCCTGGAAATAAGGTGATCGCTACCTAGCTATTTCTAATTCGATTTGTTTTGATCAATTGTGTAATATACATGATTGTAAGCTGTTAATTAAAAAAATCCTGCTGGGTTTCTTGCTGGTTCTTTCCAGGAACAAGAGTGACTTTCAATAAGTATTATTTATATTTTATATTGAATAAAAAGTTTCTGTTCTTTATACCCGACTATATATACACAAATCTGACTATATATAATTATTTTAATTCGTAAGGAAAAAAACACCCTCATTTCATTTTACACTAAAATTCGATATAGACGATAAACCTGCACTCCATAGTGTATGTTTATAAATACAATACACTAATTGATGTTGAAACTTTTAAAGATCGAAGCAAAATATTAACAGATTAACAATAATATTTTAATAAGCACGAATAAATCGATAAAACAATCAGTAAAAAACGGCAGCAAAACGTAACAATAACGAGGACACGATTATAAATAATTTATTTATTAAATCACATTTAAAATGAGAACCTATTTGGTCTACTTCAAAATTTATATTGCTAGAATATTAAATGCTATTACTAACATAAACGAATGGGATCAATTACTGTCGAAATTAATATTGCTATAGTTAAAAAAAATTAACAAGCAATACATTGTTTATTCTATCCATTTCCATTTTTCAAACACTTGTATTGAATGGTGACGTGCATTTTTAGTATAACAGATATAAAAAAAAAACTATTAAATAATGCAGAGACATGTCGTAGTGGTCATACTCGTACGCTTTGAGATTCCTTACTGTTGTCTGTTGTGACTATTACGGGACAAAATACGACGATCGAGACTCTTTATGTTATCCAAAAAACCCTGTTGATGATTCTCGAATCATAATAATTTCTCACTGATATGGTGAAATATGAGCTATTTTACCATACAGTTCCCGCCTACAGTCGTTTTGAATATACGTGTCGAGTTTCTTCTTGTAAATTGTGACTGTTCGTTGTGTGCGGTTGCGTTGCGTACTCATCGCACCAAACGACTTGGTCTTCAACTGACCTGTCACACTTGTCGACACGTTGGCCTGTTCGGGATGTACATCTGCACAAATGGAAATTTTATATTAAAATATATTCGTGTGTATTATGCATACGACTAATCTCTATAGTGTTTAGAGTTTGTTGCATATGACGGATTTTCTGAAGTTTCCCGGGAAAGCGTATCTATGTATATAAAAGAGCAGTGGAAAAGATGCTTAGATTGAGTTTTAATGTGAAGTCGAATAATAACAGTTGTCGCACGTTTATATGATTTTCTATTATTCATAGAGTTATTTTATTTAAGATAATGAAATTCTTAATGGAAGAAATCAAAATATGTTCTTTCCTTAAGCGAGGTTTAGATTGGCAACAAAACTTGCAGAAGTTGACTTATGCAAGTTATTTCCATCGCGTAAACAATCACGTCAAGCTCACTTCCGCAAGTTTTGTAACTTGCAGGACTTGCCGCAAGTCGTAAGTGTAAACACTATTTTGAAACTTCTGTCAGTAACTTGCGGTTTATTTGCTTGCAAATAAAAGTTTAAAGTTGCTGAGCAAGATGTCAGGTTTAAAAGTTTGGACGCGAGATGATACTGTGCGGCTAATAGAGAAGTATGAACAATACAGAGAACTATGGGACACTAAACGTTTATGCAGTTTAAAAATTTCATTCTGATGAAATAGGTTCTTCGCACCTGAGTTCTATAGATGATTGTGGACACCAACATTATCTCTTCTTAATATCGAATTATTAATCCACTTTCTATTTTTCCGGTCTTTTATAGGATACAAAAGAGCACACAAGCACACTATTTGCTCCTTGGTTATGTAAGTTTTTTTAAAAAGTACCCTGTATATTGTTTTTAGAAAAAAAAATGTGTTTGAGTGAAATTGATTTGATATATTACTGTACGCCTAGTATAAGATTATTATTTGTTTATATGTATTTAAACTTTCTCATGTAAGTGAATTGTTGTAAATTCTTATGAGAAATAAAGATTCTGAAACCTTGATTTGGAGCGCTTTGATATTGAAATTAGCGGGGAGTTCCAGGGATGGCTTGTAGGGTCAACCAATTTTTTTATAGAATACGGGTGACAAACGTGAACACTGTTCACCTGATGGTAAGTGGTGGCTATGGCCCATAGATATCTTCATCTATTTTCGATTACGAATCAAAATGCAGATGCGTTGTCACCCGTGAGAACTAAGATGGAATGCCTTGTTTGCATTAAATAGGGTCTCCGGTTCTCTACACTCACCATACGAAACACAGCACCATTAAGCTACTATTTTACGCTGGTCCTTCCTGGAGTGTGGTTCTTCCCCGGTCGAGCCGACTCATTCGTGCTACAACTATACTACTAATATAACTGCAGCATGGCTCTTCCACGCATAAATGTTTGTTTTTAATACTACTACATAAGACTACTCTAGCAGCAGCACGTATTTTTCTACAGCTTGACATGATGATTGATTTCAACACTCTGAATTTGGATCCTCTGACTTGTATGCAATAAATATTGCCCTTATTAGTGTAAACGCTTTTCCTAGTACTTCCACAAGTTATTTTGCAGGCTGCTTGCAGAAGCAAATTGCGATAGTAATATTGCTGGTAGTGTAAACGGTACTGCAAGTACTTCCGGAATAACTTGACAGAAGTTTTTGCAAATCTAAACCCCGATTTATATTATACATATTTATAACAAATATATCTTATTGCTAGAGGATGTGTTAAAAATGCCTACTTTTCTCAGGCAACAATTGAAATTTTTAACTGCAATTTAAAGCTGATACATTTGTATACATCTCGTGTTCAACGGTAAAATAAAACATCGCGAGGAAACCAGTAGAACCTTTTTAGAACCGGCCTCTCAGTATACTGCTGAGAACGTATACAGGCAGTTATTTCACTTTTATGTGTCGCTGTTTTCAAAATAAGTATGACCAATATAGAAATATTGTAAGCATACTCGCATCATATGTATGTTAAAAACACAGCAAAGGGTCATCACACGATTTACATTACACGTTCTTGTCATTACTTACGCCCTGATGAGGGGATAAATTATTAGGAGGAAAGTCGTTTATGCACGAAGGCAGTGACCTCATCACTCTCGGGAAATCATTATTGTTAAAGTCCGTGAATTCGTTCTTTTCAATTATTCGGTTCTAATAAACGGGAATTTAGAATTTAAGAATATGTACCAAATAATTTTTATTTGTCAATGTTATCGCATAAAAAAAGATAAGTGTGACCGCACATAGAGTCTACAGTATATTTATGTGATCTTCGTCAATTAAATAATGATTTTTATTAAACTACAAATTACTTCAGGGGTAGTTCCATATAAATTTGATGAAAACATCCCTTAGAGTAGGAAAATCAGGTGTGAAGTTTTTATATTACATTTTAGTTTATTAGTCTGAAGGCGACATTCAGCTCACTAGTCATATTCATTAGTCTATTTAAAAAGGAGTCTTTATACGTGATAGAGCCACGTTTCAGCTACATTACGCTCGTAGTACGAATGGGTCGGTACGATCGGGGTAGGACCACGCTCTCACAGAATACCGGCGTAAAATAGCAGCTTAAGCTTAAGCTGGTGAGTTTAGAGAACTGGATATTTTTTTATTAGAACCCAGGGCCTTATATTTTAGTCCTCGGGGGTGACAACGCATCTGAATTTTAATTCTAAATTTAGGATAAATATAAATATCTATGGACCGTAGCATCCACTCACCTGTTGGACTGATGGCGCATCTGTCGAGCACTTTCCGAAGTACTAAGCAAGTATATAACAAGTATACTAAGTTATATATATATATATATATATATATATATATATATATATATATATATATATATATATATATATATATATATATATATATATATCAATGGAAACGTTATTAAATAAGCTATCAGATTATTAATAACAGATATATATGTTATATATATATATATGTACGTTATATATCATATATATGTTACAAATAGTTTGCTATTACTCGACGCCATATTATGGCGTTTGACTGATGCGCATATTATTTGAGACGCCAGAATATGGCGTTTGGACAGACGAGGGGATAAAAAAGATATTTTTTTACTTTGAATAGTAACTCAAGGAAATTTCCAGGAAAAACAGTTTTTGAAGTCGGAGCTTTTCCTTTCTTTTTAGTTTAAAGCTTTTCTTTTATTTTACATGTTATACGTCACCGATTTATTATAAACTATATATATTTTAATTGTACGTTTATGTGGCGTGATGGTTATACCGCGGGTTTATGGATGCCATGAGATGAGAACGATGAATTATCTTATATCGTAACTACACAAATTAAATATAAAACTTCTTATCCAAAATAATCATAAGCTTAATTATTGTTTTATGATTTACCTGCAGTAACGCTACACTTAGAGTGATGTGAGCCGCCATTAAAGGAGTACTGTTTTATCAAGTCTCCTGTTGATACGCCTGTAAATATAATAAATATTCAATAAAAATAATAATTTATTGCCTAATCTGAGGCAATTAATATTAATCTTTCCAATATAAAGAATTGTTGGTGTGACTGTTAGTGATCGTGTCACTTCTGAACGAATTGATCGATTAAGGTTTTTGAGGGAAGTGGTCGGTACACAAGGATCTTTTCGATAGTTGTGACTGTAGTATACACAGTAACTGTAAGTTGTATTGTAAGTTATTAATCAACCTATTTATACCAGAAAATAACAGATTCTACTGTTGCTTTTTAGTCTTACCAGTATACTTACAGGATCTTACATCCTGTAAGTATACTGGTTCTCTATACTTCTTTCTCTACATTCAATCTTAGCCCTCCGAGGTAAGAGCCCGTTTTATAGCCTAAGTTGTTTTAAGATGGCTGCATGTCTTTTTGGCCTGCAGTAACCACTACCATCAGGATAACCGTAAGTTCACTAACTGTATGATTACTGTAAATTGAGCTTCAGTTTAATTTAAAAATATATTAGTTTAGTGCCAAAAATAAAATTTACAAAATATGTACCCAATAGGTGGCGTTATGCTGCATAGAGTTGTTAATAAATTTTGTATTTGCACTTTTAAAAAGTTCGGAAACTCATAACGAAAAAGGTAAAACAATTTCTAGCCAGCTAGTATAACATAACATATTTTAGATCGTGAAAGACAAATATATATATATAAACATAATACGTTTCAAGTAAATTATCATCATCACCAAGTCCCTGACAAATCGCCTGCCGATCATATGCCTCTCCCAAAAAAAATGACTGTTGACTGTTAAATGAAAGATACGACCCCCTGATTTAACTGCATCCAATGAATTTTATTTTGCATGACCTATCACGCCGTAATGATCTAGTAGGGGCCACTCTACATTTCGCTTTATGACCTAGATTTTTCTTAAATATAGTTGGAGTTACTTTCAGTCATACAAGAGACAATATATCTTGCTAGGACGTGACATCACTAAATAATAACTTTTCGAGTTTTTAACAAAACTTTGCCTCTAGTTAAGTATGTGGTTTAAATATTTTTAAGTAGAGTTCTTTTCTAAAATAATGTCCTTACAATATGTATTTTTATAATACAGCGTGGTAGAGCCACGGTGGAGTTATATTATAGTTGTAACACTAATGGGTCGGTTCGACCAAGTAGGACCACGCTCTCATAGAAAAGCAACGTAAAATAGCAGCTTAATGCTGTTGTGTATTGTATGGTGAGTGTAGAGAACCCTTTTTTGAAAACGAGACATTTCATCTTAGTGCTCACGGGTGACAACGCATTTGCATTTTGATTCTTAATCTAGGATAAATGTTTATGAGAGATGCCTAGGGGCCTCAGCATCCACGTACCATCAGGTGGACTGTGTGCTCGTCTGTCGCCATATTCTATAATCAAAAAGTATTTTTAAAGGTTAATTTAAATTGAAACTTACACTCGTGAGCAATAAATTGATTTGTTGGACCACCCAAGAAATTGGAAGTTTCAATCAAATTCAAAGCTGAAGCACCTGAAAAATAAATTTAAGGTGAGTTGATAAGTTCCTGAATTTCGAAGAAATTTAGAAACATTATTATTAGGTATGGGCCGTGGTAGCTCAGGGGCTAAGTGCTCGCGAAAATATCACAGTGATCAAGAAACCTGGGTTCAATCCCTGCCGGCAACAATGAAATCATTAATTGCAATTTTAAGTGCTGATTTACAACTAGCTCGGCAGTGAAGGGAAACATCGTGATTTCTTCATCTAATATTCATCTTAAGAAATACGTACTCATTACATTTTTATTAATTTTGTGACATAAAAGTCAAAGATCGATCAAGTGGAAGAAGTTATACTATCACAATTAGTGTTCAACGTTGTCACCCCGTACTTAAATTATCAAATTGGTTATTTAAGAACTATAGCTATTTAACAACTAAGAATTATAGGTAAATTTTTCTATCCTAAAAGTTTCCAATTCTACAATGTTTACCGTTCCAGCTCTCTGAAAGTCCACTGCTGTACATAGACCTCCCCTATATGTTGCCTTATAGTTATCGGATATTTGCCAACTATGGCAAATATCCCCCACATTTGCCACGCTTGACAAGCGGGTTGACAATATTTGGCCAAATTACCCAATGTTCGACAGCGTCATTGGTCTTGTCCTGCGCCTGATCTCTCTTCTGTCGTGTTGGGTTACTGTCCCATTACAGATGAGAGTAAGTTAACAGTGATTGTTTTTGTGCTTGTACATACTGCTCTGTGCAGGCTAGTTTCTATTAAGACTGACCGCCGTGACTGAAATCGGTTTGGAAGACGTAACTTAGTTAATTGTTTTTTTTGTTTTTCTGAATCACACAGATATTTCGATCGCACGACCTATTAAGGTCAGTATTTTTAAGTTTCCCAGAAAATTGTAAAAAAAGTAAATCAAAGAGCTTTTAATTGACATTTACCTACATTAGATTTTATAATCGATGGGTAAACAGTTCCCCGAAACAAATTACTTAGCATTTCGCCAGAGATTAAATTTTGAATTAATTTTCTTTTTCTTTCATAGATATCATATCTCACTAGAGTTGCATATAACACTTACTATCATTTAACATCATCGTCATCATCATCATTACAGCCCTTCACAAGTCTAAGGCTGAAAATAGGCCACCCCCATGGAACGCCATTAGCATGACCCTGAGCCACCTGCATTCATCGACTTCCAACATCTCTTACCCGGTCGTCACCCTATCAAGTGATGGTCGCCCTGCATACAGTACGAGGCAGCCACTGGAAGTATTTTTCTTTTATCTTTCGTTCTTGGTTTTTCGAGCTCTAAGCTATATTATGGCTATACAAGCGATTCGCGTTATTTAGATTTATGATAATCAAAGACCATTTATATTATCGATTTTTCGATTTTTTGAAAATATATCTTCAAGTTTTTCGAATAAAATAAAGCCTAGATGCCGCCTGACATGGGTCTCAATCTGTTCGTAATGTGTTATTACAATCGGTTCGGCCATTCCGTTCAGACACAGAATTCATGACTAACAGACAGACAAATTAAAAAAAAGGTTGTTTACGTTTTAATAACATACAAATAACGCCTTGAGCGTAACCAGTTGTTTAAATATTACAGACGATACTTTAATTTTATTTATATTTGTAAATTATTTATAATTTTCTTCTTGCAAATTCTTCGTGACAAAGATTTGACAGTTAATAACGGAGACCAACAAAAAAAGATAGACGGAGTGCTGCGTGCATGTCATGTAACTCCGAATTCATCCAACTTCTTGACGCGCACACACACCACCTTTATTTTTTAGAATAGAATAGTAATTTCATTCAATATTGATTATATGTAATTCTTATTTAAAGTAATTTCTTAATTTTACCACTGGTTTGGAAACCCCTGTTAGGGAAGAACCAGCAAGAAATGTGTTGCAACATCCTGATCTAATTTCGTTAAATTATTATTAAAATTTAATTCAAATTTTGAGTTGTGTAATTTCATCTTGCCAGTTTTGTTATTGATTATAAAGTCATATTAATTTTATTAGAAGTAATCTTAATTTTGTTTCTTAAATGTAAAGACTTGGCAATGGAATACACTCTTTTAAATATTTTGGAATAGTTTTTTACATATACTCTGAAACAGAAACTATAAACAATACTTATTGAAAGTCATTTTTTTCATTTACCACTGCTTCTAAATGAAACAATATGATTATATAATCTTTCATTGTAAAGGTCACAAAACTTTTATCTACTCCTAGGGATTCCTACTGTCCCCCACTCTTTAACCGATTTGCGACTGTTTAAATAAAGTGTTTTAGAAGTAAATATTTATTTTATTAAATTCAAGACAAAATATTTTTAAACAATGATTAATATAAATAGTTACTATTATTATAATATAAAAAAGCAGCTTTTTCACTATATTACCTCCAAATCTCTCTAAGAGATGTTCAGTTATTGGAACAAGCACAAACTTCTTAACTTCAACAGTGGTAGAGCCACGCGGCAGCTTTGCTGTCGCACGTATGGGCCGGCTCAAACCGGGGGTGGTACCACGACCTCACAGAATACCGGCGTGAAGTGGAAGCTCTGCTTCCGCGTTTCGTCTGGTGAGTGCAGGGGGCCGGAGGCCCAAAACCCCCCCCCCCCATCAACATGGTAGCGGAATTAAATGATAGACTACCCCAGGAGGGTACCAGCACCCCTGGAGAATCCCTCGCTGAGCATCCACGACCATGTTTCTCCACTTCTGAGCGTGGGTGCTCAGGCTGCCCCGCGTATTCTGGGGGGGGGGCAATATTCCGCTCAAGACTAAAACTGCTCGGGGCAAACGGAGCAGCAAGACCAAGGCGACCCCTGCCACGCTGTCCGTGAATTTCTGCAATATCAGGGGACTTCACTCTAACCTAAACGCCGTCCACTACCATCTCGAGACGGCGAGGCCGGCTCTGCTCTTTCTGACCGAGACGCAGGTGTCCTCTCCGGCTGATGTCTCGTATCTCTCCTGTCCGGGGTACAAACTGGAACACTCCTTTGTGCCTCGGGCTGGAGTTTGCGTTTACGTCAGAGAGGACATCTGTTCTCGACGCCTCGGCAGACTTGAAGGTTCGGACCTGTCCATCCTTTGGCTACGCGTAGACAGCGACGACCATCCGCGCGTCTACGGGTGCCTCTATAGGTCCCATAGCGGTAATGCCGAAACAGACCGACTCTTCGACCACGTCCAAATGGCTGCAGATTCGTTGCTACAGCAGATCCCCTCCGCAGAGATCGTGATCCTAGGCGACTTTAACGCCCATCACGCCGAATGGCTCGGTTCACGTTTAACCGATCATGCGGGGGAGATCTGTTCATGATTTTGCCTTGGCATATGGTCTGACACAACTGGTTACTTCGCCTACGCGGATTCCAGATGTGGAGGATCATGCACCTTCCCTGTTGGACCTTCTGCTGACCTCTCACCCGGACGGATATCAGATTTCCGTTGACGCCCCTTTAGGCTCCTCGGACCATTGTCTTGTCCGGAGTGTGGTGCCACTCACGCTGAAACCGCGGTTGCATTCTGCAGGCTGCCGCCGTGTTTGGCACTATAGGTCAGCCGATTGGGATGGGATGCGGTCTTTCTTTGCATCCTACCCTTGGGGGCGGGTTTGCTTCTCGCCGGATGATCCCAACGTTGTTGCGGATTCTGTCGCTGATGTGGTACTTCAGGGTATGGAACTTTTATTCCTTCCTCTGTGGTGCCCATTGGAGGCAAATCTCAGCCATGGTTTGGTCGCTCCTGTAAAATAGCATCATGCTATAAGCAGGAGTGCTACCGAGCCTGGGCTGACGCATCAGCGTCCAGGGATGTAAACACCAGCGCTCTAAAAAAGAAGTATAATTCCGCCTCTAGGTCCTTCAAAAGAGTCATTGCCAAGGCAAAGTCAGAGCACATAGGCAGAATTGGCGAGAGACTAGTTCGTCTTCCTTCTGGAACCCGTGCATTCTGGTCTCTCGCCAAGGCTGTCCAAGGGAATTTCTGTCAGCCATCTCTTCCATCTCTGCACAGGGAGGACGACTCACTGGCCCACACCGCAAAGGAGAAAGCCGATCTTCTAGGCTCTTTCTTTGCGTCTAACTCGACTCTCGATGACGGGGGGAGTACGCCGCCGACCATCCCGCGGTGTGAGTGCTCCATGCCGGAAGTGCAGTTCACTCAGCGCTCGGTTCGCAAAGCACTCCTCTCCCTGGATATCCATAAGTCGAGTGGGCCTGATGGAATCCCCCCAATTGTGCTGAGGACGTGTGCTCCAGAGTTGGCACCGGTTTTAACGCGTCTTTTCCGGTACTCCTACTCCCTAGGCGTAGTCCCAAAATCATGGAAGACGGCTTTCGTCCACCCGATCCCTAAAAAAGGCGACCGCTCAGACCCGTCCAACTACCGGCCTATCGCCATCACCTCCTTGTTCTCCAAAACAATGGAGTCCATTGTAAACTGCCAGCTCATGAGGTACCTTGAGGATCACCAGCTGATTAGTGACCGCCAATACGGTTTTCGCCGTGGTAGGTCAGCTGGTGATCTTCTGGTCTACCTAACTCACAGATGGGCGGAGGCAGTAGAGTCCAAGGGGGAGGCATTGGCCGTTAGTTTGGACATTGCGAAGGCCTTCGATCGGGTTTGGCACAAAGCGCTTCTTTCGAAGCTCCCTTCCTATGGGCTTCCCGAGAAATTGTGCGATTGGATCACCAGTTTTCTTGCAGATCGGAGCATCAAGGTCGTTGTAGACGGTGCAAGCTCCGATTGCAAGCTTATTAATGCTGGTGTTCCACAGGGCTGCGTGCTATCGCCAACGCTGTTTCTTCTGCATATCAATGATATGTTGCAAACCCGTAGCATTCATTGCTATGCAGATGACAGCACTGGTGATGCTCTTTACACCGGCCGAGCCAATATTTCTCGGGAAAACGTCTCTGAGTGCCGGGACAAACTTGTGTCTGAAGTCGAGTCTCTGCTGGACAGAGTCTCGGATTGGGGGCGACTAAATCTAGTCCAGTTTAACCCCCAGAAGACACAAGTTTGCGCGTTAACCGCTAAAAAGAACCCCTTTGTCGTATCCCCTCAGTTTCAAGGCACTCCCCTTGTTGCCTCAGCCAGTATCGGAATCCTCGGCGTCGACATATCGAGTGACGTGCAGTTTCGTGGTCACTTGGAAGGGAAGGCCAAATTGGCCTCTAAAAAGCTTGGCGTGCTCAGCAGAGCGGGACAGTATTTCATGCCGGCACACCGCCTGCAACTTTACAAGGCGCAGCTTCGGCCGCTCATGGAATACTGTTCCCATCTCTGGGCTGGGGCTCCCCAGTACCAGCTCCTTCCACTTGACCGCATCCAGCGCAGAGCGGCTCGAATCGTTGACGACCGAGTGCTTTCCGATCGGCTCGATTCACTGGCGCTGCGAAGAGATGTAGCATCTCTTTGCGTATTTTATCGCATCTATCACGGGGAGTGCTCTGAGGAATTGTTCGGATTAATCCCAGCCGCCAAATTTCGTGAACGCACTACACGGCAAACGTCCCGATACCATCCACACCATCTGGATGCTTGGCGGTCCACCACTGTACGTTTCAAAAGGAGTTTTCTTCCGCGTACAACCTCTCTGTGGAATAATTTACCACCGGTGATTTTTCCGGACCGATACGACCTGGGGACCTTCAAGAAAAGAGCTTACTCCTTTCTAAAGGGCCGGCAACGCACCTGCAATTCCCCTGGTGTTGCGGTTGATCATGGGCGGCGGTAGTCACTTAACATCAGGTGAGCCACATGCTCGTTTGCCCCCCTCTTCTATAAAAAAAAAAAAAAAAAAAAACTTTCTGTTTTCTGTGCATGTAAGGTAGTGAAACCAACTGTCCACAATGATTAGAACTTAAATTTTAATAATAAATGTATGGTAGGGCTCAACACCTGGAGATGAGATTATCTAGAGAAGTTGCACTAGGCCCTGTACGTGTTGGCTCTAAGAATATTACTTTAAAAGTCTGTAAAAGTCCACGGCTGGACGCACATTTATGCACCTAAAACCTTGTTCTTATTTGAAAATGTTTTCAGATGCATATGTTTGCGTGAGTGCTTGTTCTAACAATTAATTGAGCATGGTTTGGTTCGGTTCCTGCGTCACTTAATTTTTTTTAGGATAGGCTGACAAACGAACACACATTCCACCTGATGGTAAGTGGTTGCTGCGGCCCAGACATCTGCATCTATCCTCGATTACAAATCAAAATGCAGATGCGTTGTCACCCGTGAGGACTAACTCGTTTCCAGTAAAAAGGTCTCCGGTTCTCTACACTCACCATACGAAACAAAGCAGCATTAAGCTGCTATTTCACGCTGGTATTCCGTAAGAGGGTGGTCCTTCCCCGATCGAGCCTACCCATTCGTGCTACAACTATACCATTAATATAACTGCAGCATGGCTCTACCGCGTCTGAAACGTTCTACGTAGCGTTTCGTCTATACATATGTTTTTTTGGTTTAAGTTCATGAAGGCAATCGGGGCAACGAAACGTTTGATTGGCGTTCGAAAAAAACATTTATGTAACATTTTTATAAGGTTTTTTGGGTAAGGACTCCAATTAAAAAAAATTTGGAAGGCGTATTAATACAAAATTTTATACAAATCGATGCAACGGTTTCGGAAAATACAATAACGTGAGAAGCGACCTGTAACATGTACACGTAAATGTCCACTGCTGAACGTGGGATTCTGCCATAGTAATTATGTATGTAAAATTGCACCTTGATATAGAAAATTATCGTAGTGTGTGGGGGGAATACTTAATTTTTTAGGAATAAAATTCAAAATATATACTAAAGTTCATTTTGTTTGAGCATGTGCATTTCTTTTAAAAAAATGCTACTATTTGTGCGTAGATATATGGATGTGTGACAAGCGAGTAAGGTATGTAAGGGTCTAAGATGAATGCCAAGGTTAAAGATTAGGTTACACGATATTCTTACCGACATCTGTATAATGTTCCAAGTCCTCTGTACTTGTAGCTTGTCTGTGACCCAGAATAGAACTTCCAGTTTCTGTTCCTGCGGAAAGACGGATTATGAGAAATTAAAACATTTGTGGGGATGGTTTATTTATGTCCGTAAGGTTTCGACCACCTTAACCTAGACCCCACTCTACACTTGTCCCCCGGGTGATGCTTAACGAACGATAATGCCATAATCGTCGTTAATTGGCATAAAATCTATCACCCTCTGTTTTACACCGTGAGACGAAAGAAAAAGACAATGAATCAGTTTTTCTGGCGCCCCATAAATTATACAGGGGTGTGAAGAATCTTCGGTAGTAAAATCGGTGACGAGAATCGCCCCCTACCACGTTCTGTCTCCCGGAGGGGCGAAAAGTGAATTGCGGAAGCCCACCTGGCTACGCTGAATGTATGTGAAGCAATAAGTTTTGGAATAGAAAGGCTACAAGAAAGAAGCCAGAAGAGAAAGTATGAAAGAGACGTATAAATAAAAAATGGGAGAAAACATTAGCGATTTGGAAAATGCTTTCACTGAAAATGAAAGATTCAGACTTGGAGGCTGCTTGAAATAAAGTAAAGAGAGGTTTAGTGAAAGTATGTTGTATATGTAACATAAAAATAATAGTAATGATAGCTACGAGAGGAAGGTGAATAAAAGAAGAGAGCATGGCTAAATGTATGAGATTGAAAGAAAAAGGCAGTTTTAGATGTCTAAATAAGAGACTAAAGAAGTAGTAAAAAGAATAAATCAAGAACAAACGAATGAGAATAATAGAAGAATATTTCATAACTTCCAATATAATAATGTTGCAAATATAATAATGTTCTGAAAACTCGTTACAACTGCCATGAAAATCAGAATATCCTGGATTGAAAGTGGTTATATATTGAAAGACAAGGTTTGAAATTTGCGGAGATGGAAGCAATACTTCGAAAGTGTGTTTAGGTGTGAATGAAATAATGAAATCAATACAAATAATGAAATCAGGTAAGAGTTAGTTGGATATGATGAAGCAAGCTTGATGTTCAGTTTCTTTAATTTATGCTGGGAAGTCCCATTATATAAGGGATAATAGTCACAGTAAACTACCGTGGAATCAGACTGCTTGGTATTATGGGAAAAATGAGTGCTAAGATGTTGTTTGAAAGAGTTATGAAAAAAGTGACGGAAAAATTTGCGATATGCCCCGGTAGAGCCGACCCATTCGTGCTACAACTATACTACTAATTTAACTGCAGCATGGCTCTACCACGTAAAACCTTTCGTGAACCTTCAAAACCTTAGAGGTCCTAATTTAAAAATTATATTATTGCAAAAACTTTACATCGGGTACGAATAGATAAAACCTTTTTTCAGGAAAACACGACCATGATTTAATTAAAAATATATGCCGTTGTCTATCCGACGTGATTTATATTTTTTTATTAAGAAATTATGAAACTACTCTCCCAATAAGGGCTTCCTTAATGGGAAAAGTCACTGTCCAGCAATGGTCTGTTGCATGCTGACAAAGATGAGGTACAATGTGATAAAAATGGTGCACAAAACGCAATTATCATCACCATTGTATAACCTCTCGAGGATTTACCAATACATTGATGACTCACCGTGAGAATATGTTTCATACTGTCGGCAGCAAATATATCGTGACGTTTCTCTTTCTAAGTTCACTTCCCTCGATGCTATCTCTGTTATTTCTGAAAACAAGATTATAAAACTTAGAAATTAAAACGTGCTTCGCTACGTGTCAAAGTTAACGCAAACGGGAAACTTGTGGGAATCACTTCGCTATCCGTTTCACTGTCCATCACAGGCGACACTCAATTTACTTATTTATTAAATTCAATTTCTTTTACAACTAATATTATTCGACGTACTAAAAAGAATTTTGTTCAGGGAGTCTCATGATCCAATTTAAAAATTGGTTAATTTCGAGGGTTTTCTTCAAGGGTATCCACTTACAGTATTTAAATTAAATTAATCTTATTAAATCATGTAAATCAAAAATATTTATTAATTTTATGATTACTATTGTTTTTTTTCACCACAGGAGTGCGGAGTGCAAGCCTAAATGCATGCGTGCGTGTGCGTGTGTATGTGTGCGCCAAGGCGAGAGCGGGCCGATGTGCGTTAGTGAATATGTGTAATAATGTGACATCTTTGATACCTGTGCTTATATCTTTCGCTATAGCAAAAGCTTCTTCTAGCTCGGTAGTTGAAACTGAATTCAATATGGTACCTGTAAATAATATCAAGTTTGAATATTATATCAATGGCTCACTCTTGTGCATGTAATTCCCCCATTGTATGGGGATTTACCGTAATCGACACACTTAACAGGTGGATTAAGATAATCGCAGATGTCATAATAACGTCGTGTATAGTAACGGACGATGATGTGTATACATGCTTGATAAAAACAAATATTTAAAGACTAATATTATGCTTGGTAAAAAGAGTCGCCGAATTTCACAGGACTTAGTTACTCGTGATGAAAACGGCAGACTTTTACTGATATTTTACGCTAATATTCCATGAGAGGTTTGTTTTTTTGGCCATTTCGTGCTGCAGGCATATTATAACCAAAATGTGAATAAAGTAATACAATACGGCAAAGTGGTACGAAGAATGAGTGAAAAGTAATAACAAATTGGTGTAACATAATGCTTACTAATAACAATTTAGTTACGTTTTGACATTAAAAATTACCTGTGCGTGATAAAATAGACAAAATAGTATCTTTCGGTATAATGTGCAATTCCGGGCTTTCCACTTTTACACGCCTTTTATTCGAAGTTTTTGTTCCTGAGGAGAAGAAAATCACGTTGAAATATCTTGATCACTTTGCAAAATTTGTTCTACACTGCGTGACAAACATAGTGGTTTGAATATTTTTATAGAATTGAGGTTAGGAAATGAGCACATAGAGCAACTGATGATAAATAGATGCAGTGGCTAATGGACGCCTAAATCTATCCTCGGATTAAGAACCAAAATGCAGATACCTTGTCTGAACTGAAGCATTTGATGGGATGTATCGTTAGAGGTAAAAACGGTCATCGGTTTTTGTCATTTACGAAAGAAAGATAGCCGCAATATGCTGTAATACATGCTCAATGTATTATGTGAGCTGTGTATGTATTTCTTTAACGTGGTAGAGCCATGCCGCAGCAATATTATGGTTATTGCACAATGATAAATGATAATGATATAAATATGGTTCGGCACGATCGGGGAAGGACCACGCTCTCACAAAATACCAGCGCAAAATAGCAGCTTAATATTGCTGTGTCGTATGGTGAGTGTTGAGGACTGGAGACCCTTTTAACTGGAAACGAGGTATTCCATCTAAGTTCTCACGGGTGACAACTGATAACGTATCTGTATTTTAATTCGTAATCGAGAATAGATGTAGATGTTTATGAGCCACATCAACCGCTTACCATCAAGTGGTCTGTGTGCTCGTTTATCACTCCGATCTTATAAAGACACAAAATGGAGTATTACTCTTATTTTGTTGCGAAATAGTGTAATAAAACATTAGATTACGTTCTGTTTGAGACGTAAAAGATTTTTGAAAACCGCTCTAATCCAATATTACACAAAAACCGCTCTAATCCAATATTACACAAAAACCGCTCTAATTCAATATTACACAAAAACCGCTCTAATCCAATATTACACAAAAACCGCTCTAATCCAATATTATACAAAAACCGCTCTAATCCAATATTACACAAAAACCGCTCTAATCCAATATTACACAAAATCTAGGATTTTAGGCTAGATTTTTTTACAGAATAAAAGTGGCATACGAGCACACAGTCCCACTGATGGTAAGTGGATGCTGTGGTCTATAGACATCTACATTTATGCTCGATTAAGAATCAAAACGCAGCTCCGTTGTCACCCACGAGGACTAAGATGGAATGCAATCTTTTCATTAAAAAAGGTCTCCGAACACTCACCATACGAAACACAGTGGTATTAAGCTCGTTGGATAGGTCAAATTGCTCATGAAAAACACGGTGTTATCAAATCGTTTCCTGGTGATAGATTTTTAATGGCCAAGCGCAGTATGAAGATCCTTTAGTATCCTTTCATAGATACACACAGCCAGTATCGGAATCCTCGGCGTCGACATATCGAGTGACGTGCAGTTTCGTGGTCACTTGGAAGGGAAGGCCAAATTGGCCTCTAAAAAGCTTGGCGTGCTCTGCAGAGCGGGACAGTATTTCATGCCGGCACACCGGCTGCAACTTTACAAGGCGCAGGTTCGGCCGCTCATGGAATACTGTTCCCATCTCTGGGCTGGGGCTCCCCAGTACCAGCTCCTTCCACTTGACCGCATCCAGCGCAGAGCGGCTCGAATCGTCGACGACCGAGTGCTTTCCGATCGGCTCGATTCACTGGCGCTGCGAAGAGATGTTGCATCTCTTTGCGTATTTTATCGCATCTATCACGGGGAGTGCTCTGAGGAATTGTTCGGATTAATCCCAGCCGCCAAATTTCGTGAACGCACTACACGGCAAACGTCCCGATACCATCCACACCATCTGGATGCTTGGCGGTCCACCACTGTACGTTTCAAAAGGAGTTTTCTTCCGCGTACAACCTCTCTGTGGAATAATTTACCACCGGTGATTTTTCCGGACCGATACGACCTGGGGACCTTCAAGAAAAGAGCTTACTCCTTTCTAAAGGGCCGGCAACGCACCTGCAATTCCCCTGGTGTTGCGGTTGATTATGGGCGGCGGTAGTCACTTAACATCAGGTGAGCCACATGCTCGTTTGCCCCCTCTTCTATATAAAAAAAAAACACATGATAGATTTGAGAGGTTGACGAATGCGAGTAGCATATGACTTCAGTACTTGGTGGCAGTTTATAGAAAGGCTATTGTTAATCAATAGGTTCGTAATGGATTATAACCATATTTTATTTTAAATAATGATATAATATGTATGCAAGGTACATTTGTATTGTGATATAAGTTGCTATTTTTATATAAAAAAGTCCCGATGTTTTTCCCAGGACAGTGGTTTTTTCCGAACCAGTGGTTAATTAATCAGAGTTTTTGAAGCGACAGTAGCCTAATGGCAGGGCGCGAACCGCGAACTCAAAAAGGTCGTGGGTTCGTATCCGCCATTCTACTACTGGCGTGAACCACTCGTAACACAAGCAATTTAAGCTTACCACGAGTGGTTAAGGGGAATATTAGTAATGTTTATAGCATTGTTAATATTCTTTAAAAAAGAGTGAATTTTAGTAAGTATTAGTTATTTTCTATATTAAATAAAAAAGTTTGTTTTTATGTTTCAGTCTCATTTTTCACAGTAGTATTCTTACGCGATGTATTCAGTTTTAAAATAAATTGTCATAGTAAGCTCACGCCACATACTACGGCTACGTGTACCATATCAAACGGTCCATTCCAATTATTATTAAGCTATTGCATAGCTTCTATCGCGGGCCTTGAGCGCGGGGACCGAATCCAGAAATTCCGTAACGAAAAAAACCTCACGCTCCCCCACTCCGACGGGCACAGAGGTGTGGCGTTGAAAGCCGTGCATCGTCTAACGTCGTTTTAGTTCGGCACTTCTCGGCAGACTTCGGCACGGTGTTTGTGTGCGTGCGACTAGACATACGCGTGTACACTAGCTGCTAACTCAATGATAAAAGTTCCTGAATAACCTACATGTATTGTAAGACGATAAAAATATTTTAAACAATATTAACTTCTCATTATTCAGTAAGAGAAAAAAAATTGTTTTCTTATCGGTCACCACGCTCAAAAAGTGTAACTTGATTTAATATCAAAGACTTAACTGAATAAATAAAATAAATAAATAATTATAATTGCATAAGTTGATAAAAAATGCTATGCAATAGCTTTACCGCGGCAGTCACCGAGTGCCACACGTATTTTTTTTATTTATTTCAGTCACAGTCCACGTGATAGTTAAGTTTATCCAGCTGTCCATGGGCAACTGCGACAAACTTTAAACAATAAAGGACTACAGATGCGTTGGCACATCTAAGGACTAAGATGGAATACCACAGAGTATGTAATTATACTGGCTATATACCCTTCAGACCGGTACACAGCACAACAAGCACTGCTATTTGGCGACCGTAATAAGTAAAAGGGTACCCGTTCCTACCCAGATAGACTAGACCTAGGTAGAAAAGGCATAGTAGAACTCCTATGACTATTTTTCGTTAGTAATTACTCAAATATCGAAAAACTATTATCAGAACCCGAAGCAATATTTTACGTACTAAAAAGTTACAAAAGTGGAATACCCGTAATATTGGAATGTTGTAATGATTCTTCCAAGCCGTGAGGTGAAGATACAGCTTCCGAGACTTTATGTATTGATTGTTTAGGAGTCACTTGCGTTTCTGTGAAATATAAAAGCAACATTTTGTATGATTATTTGATAGCCATGGCACTGATATTTTACATTTATTTACATTAACATATTATGATATTGATCTATCAATAAATATTACAAATTGGGTGCGTCTTATTTTAAATTCGATATTTTTTTATTGATTTATTTATTTAGTTATAACTTTTCGTTTTTATTTTTCTATTAATGAAAATTTATTTCAAAGTAGTGGTATTTATTGATAATTCAATTTCATAATACGTTAATGTAAAAGCAAAAATATTGTAAATTATCAGTGCTATAGGATTCTATTCCGTTCACCTGTTACACCCTATTTTTTCCAGACAGTAAAAATATCACCCAGTATAGAGATTTCTTATAGTTTAAAACTCGAAATTGATTTATTCTAGTGTAAAATTAATTATAAAGAAAAGTAAAATTAGCAATGAAAATGTCTTTAAAATATTTTAACACTGTATTATTAATTAAAATACTGTGCAAATCTTACTATATATATATATATATATATATATATATATATATATATATATATATATATATATATATATATATATATATATATATATATATATATATATATATATAAATTACGTGTCACGTTGTTTGTCCGCGATGGACGCCTGAACTACTAAACCAATTTTAATGGAATTTGCACACCGTGTGCAGTTTGGTCCAACTTGAGAGATAGGATAGATTTTTTGTTTTTTTGCGAATTTAAGGATTTTTAATAGGACATGACAAAGGGCAGAACAACGTCTGCATGGCAAGCTAGTGTATTATAAATAAATGAAAAAGAAAAAAGAACATGAACAATTAAAATTACCA